TTCCCTACAGAAGCCTGATCCTGAATTTCTGACGCAAATAAAATTCCCAATATTTATTTCTAAAATATTGCATAATATTATTGATAAAGTCTAGCTTTAATAAGCTAAAGAAATGGTATAACAGATACTTGAATTTAGTGACTGTATCACATGGTTTTAAATAGACAGAAAAACTTACTTAAGGTTTAAATGAATATTCAGCAGTTTTGCAATGAGGAGAACAAGAGAATTCTGTGCTACAATGAACAGATGAGCAACACAGAAGCAAGCCCATTAATCTATGTCAGCTTGAGCTACATGCCATAATGACGGCCTTGAAGTGGTCTTGTGCACAAGGAACTGTTGTGATTAGTCCATGGGCTGTTCTGCAGCTAAAAGAATGGACGTATTTGTTAATTTATTAGGTTAATAACTGACCTCTGATGTCAAATCACCCAGCAATAAGAAGATCTAAGATGTATTTTACTCATGAAATATAATGCTATATTATGTAATTGTGAAATCACACCCGTGCATAACAAAATGTCTAGAGCAATTATCTTCCAGCAAATCCTCTGTGGTTGCTTAGAAAATTGGTGTACCACAGCTACTTGGACCTGTGGTAACTATTTTGCCTACAGCTATGATTCGTGAGTCACAGGGGCAAGATGAATGTTATGGTAAATTAAAATCAAAAATAGTGAAAGGGGGATTAGGGCAAAGCTGAGCTACTGCAAACAATAGACGCTGAGGTACCCGTGACTTTGCAATTATCAGGTCGTGTCAGTTCTGCCAAATTCTTTTACATGGTTTGCTTTTTCTTGCGACCAAGTATAGCAACAAATTATAACATCTATCTCATAGATTACATTTTAAGGTAGCGGGTTGCAGAGTAACCCTGTTAATTATTATAGCCTGATAGTGTATGTAGAATCTCACAATCCATTATGTGTTGTTTGTAAATGATGCGTATCTGCTTCAGTGTGAAATATTTTGAACCTTGCTAATAAGTATCATTTGCTACAATTAATGAAATTTTCATTTATTTTTTTTTTCCTTTCTCTCTCACCCTAGTATGAAAGCAAGGTAAAAATAATCGGATTACTTGCATGACTTGCATGTGTCTAGTAAGTGCAGCTTGAAAGCACAGGCAGCAACGCAGAAGCAGCGTGTGGGCAGTATTTATACCAGCTGTTACGCTAAGGCTGTTAATTCAGCAAGTCGCTCCTGCTGCAACAAGCAAAGCTGCTCCCAAGTGCTTAACACTGTCATGTTACATGCTGCGCGCACACCTACACAAACAACTTTTATTTTTGTCACGCAGCTGCTTACTTCAGCTGTGTTTGTTTGTGACACTGGAACGCCTCGGAAGCAGAGCTGCGGGCAAGCTGCATTGCCCGGTTGGGTTCTGACCTCCAGGCTGTAAGAGCAACGTAGTCCCGGGTCAGGCCAGCAGCGCTGCGCTGCCAGGCAGTGGGGTGCTTACGGAGGAGGGTATGAGAGCGAGGTGCAGATTTTTGTGAAATTTGCCACTTCTGAGTTTAAGAACAGGGGGATAGGAAGGGTCACCTATTTCTGACTGGTTCCAGTTTGCAACTGTTTGTGTCCATTGCTTTTGCTTGGATATGCTCAGATACGAACTGAACTCCACTGTTTTGCAGCTTAATTCCTGGTGTGAATTACAAAAATGCAGCTTTCCCCCCAGTCCTGAGAAAGATTATTTCCTCCCAAGCTCCAGAAATCTTTTCTTGTGTTCCCTTGAAATTGATCCTAATTTGGAAAAAGAAAAAAAAAAAAAAAAAAAAAAGGCCAAGAATTTATGCAAGATCTGTAAGAGCTTGGACCTTGTTCTGTATGTTTTGGAAGGGAACAAGGGAAAAAAGGAAGTCTTAGAAAAGCATCAAGCAAGTGTTAAATGTTTACAAGGATGTAGAGTTCATATGGGTTGAGAATTATAAGATAGCAGTGACTGCCTGTTGCGTGAGGGCGGTCTGTGACTGGACAGGGCAGGAAGGGGGTAGGAAAATGAATTGTTTCTGGATGGCAAAGACAGGAGACTGGGCACTGCTGACAAAGGCATGGCAAAACTGCTGCTGCTGGGAAGATGAGTCTATGAAGGAACTGGGGAAGAGCTAGGAAATAAAAAATCAAAAATGAAAAGTGACCATAGCTTCATGACTGTAAATAAAACAGAATAAGTATTATTTTAGTAAACCAGATGCTTACTTTTGGGGATGTAAATTTTCCAGAGAATACACCACGCTTGCTAGAATGGCTATAATGCAAAGAATGGCTTTCAGTACCAAAACATGCAGCTGAATTGTGCAAAATGGTTTTATTTTGTAATTAATATTCTTTAAAATCTTTTCTTTCCTTCCAGGGAGCTGAAGTGTTGGGGTTTTTTTTCTCTCCACAGTTTTAACTCCTTATATATTTTCCAAATTCATTTTTCTTTTTTTGAGCCGTTCATATTATTCAGACATTCTACTAAATTGTCAACACTCATGGATAATATTGTGAGGGAATTAACTAGTGCTTTTTTTCTTTTTGGATTTACTCTCCATGGGATGTATGGCAACTTTGTTTCTGAAGTGACTTTATAAGGCTTTTCTTCTTGCAAGCCTGGTTCAGATGTTGCCAGCAGTTGTGGTCTCACACTGGTGTTCCCAGGCCTGGGAAATCACACTTTTGCATTCAAGTATGGTAGCTTTGGTGTTATTTTCAGGGGTTTTCTCATTTCTTCTGGCAACCAGCTGATAGCCAAACCATGGAACTTTGCAATTCTAGGACAATATTTTCCTGCCTTGGATGGATAGGCAGATCCTGTTACAATCCCAAGTGGTTTGTTTTCTTTAACTGCCTAAGAAAATCAATATATTGTTGTGCCACAAGAAAATATGCAGCAGTTTTCATAGGAAAGATACTGGGAATATAAAATACATAGAAAACAAATGTCAGTCCACCTGAACATGAAGAATTCCTGAAGCATAAACAAAAATAAAATTAAATTTTTTTTCAGTCTTTGACAAAGACTTCATCCAAAATGTTTGTATGCTGTGAAAGTTCCTCTTTCCTTAGGATCTAGCATGTAAAAAGATGAATGAAACATCTGACTTCCAGTTAAGGTCTTTCATTATTGTTATGATTTCCCAGCTTGCATCTTTCTGCTTTGCCTAAAGAACAACTACTTACTTATTTCATAGCTGACTCCATTTAAACACCGAAGGTGACAGCACTCTTGTACCAAAAAAAAAAAAAAAAAGAAAAAAAAAAAAGAAAGAACAAATGTAAAAGAGGACTATTGTCAATTGATGATGAGATGAATCTCCTGTTAAACCTTTGATGAGTGATGGAAGGCAGAGTGCAATATGTGCTGATAGGTGGTAGCAGGCAAGATGTATTCATTTGAGTGTATGCGTGTATTTAAAAAAAAAATAAGCATCTGTGCATCTGAAAGTGCATATATATGTGTCTGGCTGACTGTGTTCTCCCTAAATTCTATTTTTGAAAGTATATTGTACTTCTAAATTTTTTTTAGGCCTGAAGTGAACTTAAAGAAATATACAGGTTGCCTCAAAGAGATTGAAATTTCAAGGACACCATATAATATTTTGAGTAGTCCTGATTTTGTTGGTCTAACCAAAGGATGCACACTAGAGGTGAGTGTGAATTCCATGTCTTTTGATCTTAATGGGTATAAATGTTTTCCAGTCTCTGATTTTATGGCATAACATATTAATTGTATAAGGCATAGTCAGACACACATAGAGCTCTAACCTGAAAATCAGAATGTTTATGTTTAAAAGAAAGAAAGATGAATTAGTCTGATCAGCAAGTAGACCAGTTTTCTAAATCTTAACTTCTTGGACAGTATCCCTGTACAGTTGTGATATCCCTGACCCTAAAGGGTAGGATTTTCTGAAATGCTTGGCAGTGGTCTAGTTCCATTTCAGCTGACTAAAATGGGAATTATTGACCTTAATGAGGATAGAATTAGGCACTGACAATATTGCAAAAACCTTAAAAATTTTTGATACACATAAAATACAAGGATTTAAACAATTTTCTTTTAAAAATTTGTTTTTATAAAATCAATCACTACAGCAAATCTGAGGTAATTTGAAAACTACAGTATATTTGGGGGTAACTGAAACAAAGTCACCTTTAGGACAGGAACTGTAGAGCATTTACTGTTATGAACTACTACTGAGCTGGAAGGCACATTTCGTACTGATGACTAAGAATAAGCCAAACTGATGTAATTATTTTAACTTTAAATACAAGTCAAATCCATTTTTTTCAATTTATGCTGCTTCTACTTAACAGGCTTTCAATGCATCTAAAATCAAGGAATCTGATCCTAAGTTTGAGAGAGTTTATAGTAATTTTCCATGGAAAAGAAGAGTCTTATATAAAAAAGTATTTCCAGTTGCATTTGTCTCCCAATAAATATTTCGTATTTCTTCCCTGGAAATGTATACAATTTAAGATAGTTTTGCAAGCAGATGTATGATCTAGAGTTCCATATCAGATACCACTACAGCAAATTAGTTATTGTTAAACAAATGCTCTCCAAACGTTTTTCTGCAAAACATTGAAAATTTCCTTTGAACGATGACTGGAACCTGGCCCAGGTCAAAATACAGATGAGTACCCTCTTTTGCTGTGTTTATCACTTCTATCTCTGGCCTTCATCAGAGCAAAAAGCACACACAATAGGACTCTCAGAAAGGATATTAGATTAGATGGATCTGTCATGAGATGTTAATTTTTAAGTTTTCAGGTTTGTGACAAAGCTAAACTGTAAACAACCAGATTGGTCAAATGGTTTTAAATCTTACAAATTTGGGTTCAGCAAAAGTTTTCTACAGAAGTTCATATTTGTTTGCATTTATTGTAGATTCTTTCCTGAATAAGAAAGAAGGATAGTTGTGTTGATTTTTTTCTGTTGCTATGAATCTTAGACAGAACTTTGTTTTTCACATTATTTTGTAACTCTAGGGTTTCAGGATTTGAAATCTAGTTGGACTGACCATTTTGTTGGGGAATTAAATAAAATACTCTAATTGTACAAAACAGGTTATGTAGGATAATTAAAAAGAAGTGAATTATTAAAACCAAAAGATAAAGACTGGATATATGCTCAATTATTTAAATGCCCTCAGATATCAGAGAAAAGTGAACATCATCAGCAATGATTTTATCTAGCATAGTCTATTATCTCTATACCTGAAATCAGTTCTACTGTACTGAAAAATGGTGAGTTACTTTAGAAAAAGTTGCTGTTTCTATAGACTGGTCTTCCCCGGCCGGAAGAGCACAAGAATTGGCATTGATTACAGAAAATCTTCAGGAGTATGCACTGATTTATTATTTGATGGCATATTCTGCTCTTCAAATTGTGTTAATGGCTACCAATGTCCACAGAGTTGGGCCATGCGCAACAAGTGCTTCATTTATGAGCCTGAGTCATCAAGAAAGCAGTGCTGCTTAGTGAAGCAATAATGATGAAGCAACAACGACTGATTAATGGAAAGTATTTTCAGGGCACATTTGACAAATAATAGAATGTAGTTTATGTTCATATTGGCTGTTATCTATTGTATTGATTTAAAAGCAAAATCCCACTGTATTAACTCAATGGAAAACATTCATATAAAAAACAACCTGTGAGCAGTTATTTTTAATCCAAGAGGATATACCGAAATAAGACTGGAATTTGCCTTCCTGTAAGACAGGATTCCAGTAACATTCTAATGATGCCAGATGTAAACAGCTAAATTAGTGTTTGCACAACACTTTGAGAAGTAAATTGCTTGGTGTTTATTATTACTTTCCATCTCTTCACACTAGTTATATTTGCATAGTTTATTATTTTAGTTAAGAAATGTTTCTGCATGTTCATAGTCTTGCTTTTAATCCTATTAATGCACTTTCCTGTCTTCTGCTTCCTACAGAACATTTATACGGTTAGCTTCCCCAAGCCAGGTTTTGTGGAACTGCAGCCCGTCTCCTTTGACGTGGGCACAGAAATCAACCTCTCCTTCAGCACCAAGAATGAGTCCGGGATCATCTTGTTTGGCACAAGCGGCACAGTTGTTCCCCCCAGGAGAAAACGCGGGTACACTGGAAGGAAAGCTGCCCCCCTGAAGAGAAAGCGCAGGCAGACAGGGCAGGTGCGAGGAACCTAGCTAAAGATAAAGAAAAAACACAGTTTTACTGAACTTCTTCCACTTGGTTTTTTGCAAGACACTGTCAGATGTTTCTACTTACATTAAAATTGGGAATAAATTATTTCTAATGTTATCCTTTATCTGATGGAGAATCTGATAGAGGCTCAGAATTTTTTTTTTTTTTGCATTGGAGTAACTGTTTCTCTTAAAGATTTACAGTAAGGCATCCATTGGTTCTTGCTAAACAACAACAGATTTGTTTTTCTATCATACAGAAGCTCCCATGTTGTTTTTTTAATCAAACCTAAATATTCAGGAATACTGTTTGTCACTCATTCACTACTTATGCACTATTAATGCTTGGAAATATCTCTCATTCCTGTTAATATAGACATAAATGAGGATCATTATGTTGCCCCTGAGACCGAAAAAAAAAAAAAAAAAGCTGCTAAAAGCAGTACCAGATAAGCCCCTTGTTTGAGATCATTGCTGTGGGTTATGAGGCTTAAGAGTGCTCCAACGTCTCCTCTCCCATAAAATACAAATCTGCAGTATAAATCCTTTCTGGAGAAGAGGACAGAGTCAATCTGTTCAGGGAAAGTACCTACAGCAGTCCAGGTGACTAACTGATAGAAGTGTGATTACTGTTAGAAATTATTCACATCTTGATTAATTAAAAACCTTTCTGACAGACATACTGCAACAGAGATAACCAGAATATTTTGGTGCTTTCCTTGTTCAGGACTTCCCGGAAGTGATATTTCATTATTCTGCTTCCTGCCTGTTTTGGAAGAGACTTCTCAGTGACCTGGAGGAGCACACTCCAGGGACAACACATTATAATGGTTCACTCGCATGACATTAACTGCAGGCTAGGGGCTCCTTTATCATTACCCAGCTGTTCAGGTCACAGAAGTGAGCGTGACACTCATTGCTATGGTAACTGGAGGTTAGATCCTGAAATCCGCTACAACATGATATTGGTTGCTAGAGTAACTACTAGCATGATTTGCTAGCCCTCCAAACGCAGAACTCACACTGAGATCAATGCTATCCAGGGCTTGTTGGGTTTCAGACCAGTCCTTGTAACAGCAAAAATCAGAAGACTGGTAAGTTAGAAGTCTCCATCCTTCCCTGCAAATAGGTATGCAGAGAGTCAAATCTTTTGATGAGACTTTCCAGCATTACCTCGTTTTACCTATTCCTCATTATAAAAATACAAGAGAGTCTGAATATAGCAGTAGCAGAAGTTAAATTACAGTATCTTTACCATGGTGAGCAAAGAAAATAAAACATACACACTAATGTAAAATTATGTGAAATAATTCCTTTCCCAGTGTAACTTACCTTCTCATACCAACACATACATTGCAGGCCTACTATGCAGTGTTCCTGAACAGAGGTCGCCTGGAAGTGCATATCTCCACTGGGGTACGGGATCCCCACAGAATCACCATCAAACCAGAAGCTGGCGAGTTTCACGACGGCAGAGCGCACTCCATCCGGATAGAAAGAGCCAAAGGGTAACAAATACCTTGAAGTGCTACAGACCACACAGCACAGCTAATTCAACAAAGTGAATGTATCAATGTCATTAGCAATCCATGCAAATGCTTCTGCTGAGACAAAGAATTTCACATAATTCCTTCCTTATCCAAAAGTTTTTAGAAGGCGGTTTCTGACAGTGCTCATTATTCTGCAGAGCTGGGTTTAGATGCTTTCATAGGCTGTCAGCCTGGTTCTCCAGAGACCTGCATTTGTCTGAGTTGGCATCTTTAACCTTCTGGTACTTGGCAAATATATTTTATTAATCGAATCTGTGGGTGAGAAGTACTGCTGTGGTGTAGTAAATCACCTCTTCAAGACACGTAGAAAAAGACCGTTTTCAGAATATGTAAACAGCAACAGCACAGCAGCCTGTAGCCTTTTTGAGATGCCATGTGCTGGTGCATACACGAGGGGTTACGGCGGTGCCCAGGCAAGTATGGTGAAACAATGAAGACACACAGTCCCAGAGAAGTGGCAGTCATGCTTATTGCTGAAAAGCCATTGCAGACCTTCTCAGACAATGTTGTTTTAAACAGAATTTCACTTAAATTCCTTTGCCCTTTCTCAGACATGGTAAAAAAATGCGAACTACACTTCACAATTCAGAAAGTGATTAGAAACTGCACTACTGTCGTGTGTAGGACTCAGGTGGTCAGTATTATTTATGGCCTGGAAGAGTCCTTGTTGTGGACATTTGGACATAGAAATGTGTACATACTGTACAGACATTCACTGGATTAGTGCACTATGCACAATATTGTTCTGTATTGTTTAAAAAAAAAAAAATCAGAACGAAGATGTGATATCCAGCATGTTACAAAATGTGCTTATCCAAGCACACTGAACACCAGGCTTCACCCTCTTACCCCCACAATGCTGCAGCCTTCTTGAGCAACAATTCCTGTCCGTCTAGGCCCAAGGTGCCCTTCTGTCCTCTCTATAATCTGTTTTGCTTTGCTTTGTCCTTTGTCAGTATAAATTTCTGACTGAATTTCTATTGTATCATTAACAAAATCTTGTCATAATGCCTTCAGACACTATCTCTCCCCCACTTCAATGACTAGTTCAAGGTAAAACCGCAAATTCTTTGGGAGAAAAAGTTATTTTGGAAATGGATGACTGCATTTTGCAAAACATTTTGTGTCACTGTGACAGAATACAAATATGCAGATGATAATAAGAAGCGCTAAGCAACAAAGTTCTTATATGCACTTCTATAACAAGTCCAGTAGCTTGACCTGTGAGAGAACATCAAGACACAACTGCTGTACAATGCCATACAGTGATGATGCTTTTTCAGATGAAACCTCTGTGTTTTGAAAGTAGCTCTGTTACAAAACAAATTGTCTGAACTCTGCAGTTTCTGTAACTTGAAATGGATGTGAAAAGATATAAATTAACACTTCCTCTGCTCATCACGAACTTGGGCTTTATTTGATTAGATATTTGGAACATCCTTTGAAAACTCCTCAGATAGTTGTCCATATAATTATGAAGTATTTGCTTTCTCTTCCAAGGTAATTATAGGATACTGTTGAAGACTAATGCACATCATTGTATGGTTCAGTTTGGAGCAAAAACGTTTACTATGGTCATGGCTAAAGATAAGATGAAATACTGCGTGCTGATGAAAATATTGACAATCAGTAGCCATGGCTACCGTGCGGCAGCACAAAGGGTAACTCGAGTCTTGACAGTCTGATTTCCCT